TTTTATCCCTATTGTTGTAATGGGCTTGCTGAGAGTAAAAATCTTTCCTCTTACCAAGAGACATATATGTTTGATGACTTAACGAGCAGCTAAATGAGGCAGGAGATGATGCAATGGGTGTCTGAATGGCCAACATCTCCTCACTTGGTAGAACTTGACTTCCACTTCCTACTTGTTAATTGGGGTTAACCATATGGGGTTCCCTTGGTATGTCCTTGTTTTGGCGAATGTGTGGTTGTAAGCTTGTGCCATCACCTTAGAGTAAGTCTTCCAAATGTTGGCATTGATCATGTACTTGAAGAAACAATCACGTAAGCCTGCTATGAAGGCCTTGAGGGCGGTCTTGTCATCTGTCTCAGCGCAGCGAGAATACTTATGGCTGAAGCGACCGGCATACTCTCGTAGTGACTTGTCCGGCTTTTGACGAATAGTGTACAAGTCATCTGCAGAATGCAAGCGATTGGTCTGGAAAATGTGTTGAGAGACAAACAGTTTCCTCAGTTTTTCAAATGAGTATACTGTCTCAGGTGGAAGATGACAATACCAATTTAGAGCTCCGCTAGAGATGGTAGAGGGGAAGAGAGACATCGCTCTTCGTCAGTGTGCATCTGATATGCCATGGTGGACTCAAAGAGGTTAAGGTGTTCAATTGGGTCCTCCATTCCAGTATAGAGTTGTAAACCAAGCTTTTGTTTTGTCTTCGCTTGAAGGGGGTGTCGATGATCCTTCTTGTGAGAGGGCCATGCCTGGGTTGGTTCCAGTCAGGTATCTCGGCCTGACGTTCGGCCTTCAACTTGTTTACTTCCTCAATGAGCTATAGGACAAGAGGGTCTTGAGTGGAGTCATGTACCACTAGAAATTTCTTTTGTAAGTCTCAATCGCCTCTTGAAAGTAGGAAAGTTTGAGCAATGACGTGTGGTTTTTTCTTGGACTCGTCGTACTGACTTCTAGGGCGAGTCTGTCGGAATACCTCAGAGTCCCTTATACCTTCATATTCCTCTGAGACCTGTCATTCCTTCCCTAGATTGGCAGCTGGCCTGGGTCGTGGAAAGGGACCGAGTCTTTAAGAAACCCTTGGGTCATTGATCTTCGAGCATATGTGTGGGGGATTTTCTCGACGTTGCTTTAGGAAGTCTCGGCAGTCATGATAAACGACTTTTGATCCTTCCAACCTTTCTGTAAGGAGGTGTCTTCCTCCACTTCTTATGCTTTGGGTTGAAGCATCTGGGTTGAGAGAAGTCTCATCTTGATCAATGTTTTGATGATTAGCTCGCTCCTCATCAAGGATACCCATGTCGAAGGGAGGTGACCCTCCGAGTTGGGGGGCATCCAGATGATGGTTGATGTCCACTCGGGCAACGAGCTCGCGTGTTTGAGTACGCCTAGTTTCGTGGAGCGTCTCAAAGAGCTTCTCATACTGCTCTTGGAGGACCTCATTCTTCATTGCTATCTTGTTATTCTGAGCTTTTAGCTCATCGACTTTAGCTTGAAGAGCAACCCTATTTCCTTCATTCTTTCGTTGTTTCGCACTAGGTGCAAGAGGGGTGTCATTCTGTGTGATGTGGCTTCATTCGCTCCCCATGTTGGAGAGGGATGCCTGGTCAAAAGAGAGTGTACGAATGGTGGAAACCAGCTTGGCAAAGTTGAAGAGAGTAGGACTAAGTGTCGTTCCCACAGACGGCACCAAATGTTGATGCACAAAATCAGTGAGGACTTTGGTACAATAGAAAGTGTTAAGTTTGTGACCTTCGCTAGATTGCTCCGGTCACTAGTGTGGATAAGTATGTAAATGGATAGAGATAGGGAAGCAAACACAAGATGTGTGTGGTTCACCCAGATTGGCTATGTCCACGGAGTAGAGGAGTTCTCATTAATTGTGAAGGGTTTACACAAGTACATAGGTTCAAGCTCTCCTTTAGTGAGTACAAGTGAATGATTTAGTACAAATGACATTAGGAAATATTGTGAGAGAATGATCTCTATTTATAGAAGAGAGTTTGTAGTTTCATTTTGACATTGACACGTGTCGTGTTGTGATTGACTTCTGATGTTGACACGTGTCGCGCTATGATTGGCTTATGATGTCAACACGTGTCGTGCTGTGATTGGCCTCCTGGTTGGAGGGAAACTCTTTTGGGTCCTTGACGGTATAACGTTGACCGGTGCTCAGTAGTTTCGGGATTGGTCAAGTATGGTACAAACAATATCATTCTATTGTCATGTTTTCATGTTTGGTGAACTTGGAGATATATTGTTAAAAAAAAATAAAAATAAAAAGTCTAGGCAGCCGCCAAGACGCTAGGCAGAGACCGAGTGCTTCAATTAGGGTGAAGCCTCTAGGCCTACGCAGTTTAGGAGGCTTTAGGCTGCCCTAGGCGGTTCAATATTTTTATTTTTTTAGGTTAAGGGTTTGGAGATAGTTTCTTGTGAAACAACATTAAGTTTTCTTGTAAAATAACTTTGAATCCATATTCTATTTTATGTATTCAATCAAGTGTAGTCACTTGTTTATATGTTTGTATTGTTATATAATAAACTTAAATAACTTGTCTATGTTTCACCTAGGCCCCTAGGCGCTAGGTTCTTATCCCGAGACCAACTAGCTCCTAGCTTTCTAAAACAATGGGGAAATAAAATGGAAAAGAAAGAGAAAATTTAGTCTTTTAGTTTAATTATGAGGGAAAAGTAAGAAAAAAAAAATGGTATGAAAAGTTATTATGAGTATATTTGGATCACATTTTCTAAATTTGACACCTACACAATCGCGTAATTATATGATTTACGCATTAATGTAAAAGTAAACGAGAAGTGTCCTTAATTGTGACCCAAATGTGATTTTGACATGGTATAACTTTCATGAACTATATACAAAAAAGTATAGCAGAACATCATTCTTCTTCCCTTTAGTGGTAGGTTGATTGCATGAACTTGTAAAAAGAAAGTGGAACTTGGATGGCTTTGAGTCCAAGCAAGATATTATCTTTTTCGTATTCCTAAATCAAAGTAAACCCTAGCCAACATGATCTCTTAAAATGTTTGAATTCAAGATTCCAATTAACATGGTTCTCTTGAGGAATTGAATTTCAAACGCTTTTAATGAAACATTGTTGACCTAATCAAACTGAAGAATGCATAAAGATAAATGCGAAAATTATTTTCCCATACTTTAGATCAAATTTTAAACATAATTTAAGTTTGAAGTGGCATTTTGATTCTTATAAAGTTTTGTTCCATCTGATATTTTAAATTAAATTATTACATTATTTATTTTTCATAATTGTAACTAGTATATGCCCATTTATTTTTCATAATTGTAACTAGTATATGCCCACATACAAAGTGTGTGTGTCAAATATTTTATTTTGTTTATAAAATTGAAGGAGAGATGAAGAGAGTGAGAGAGAACGTGGGAGTAAGGAGAGAGAAGAGATGCTTATTTTTTATTTGGTTTTATTTATTTTTTAAATTTAGAGATTTTAAAGTCACATGTAGGTGAGACTTAAGACTGGTTTGGTATTGCTGTGCTTTGAAAAAAAACTGCTTCTACTGTGCTATGAGAATAAGCTTATTTTTGCTGCTTCACGTTTTCAGCTTTTTTTCACCCAAAACTGTGAGAATAAACTGTTTTTAAGTGTTTACTAAACACCTTTTTGAGCTTAGTTTTTTTAATATCTACTATTTATAAAAGCACCTTAGTACCAAACCAGTACTTAAACAAAAACAGTAAATTTTTGCCTTATAAAGTTATGTTACTGCCCTTAACTTTTTTATTGTGATAAAATATTAAATAGTCTTTTCACCTTCTTTTGGTTGACAAAGAAGATTCTATTAATATGTTTTGAATAACTATTTTTAAAACAAAAAATAAAAATAAAAATGATAAAAAAATCATTTATTACTCAATTAAAAATGGATTTGAAGTTGTTGTCACTTTTGCTGACAACCATGTAATGCCATAAGAATTGGCATTTTAGTTGGAAAACAGTAAACGTTCTCTTTGATAACAATTAAGATAGAATTAATGCTATTGTTGATATGAACATTTTTTATTGTTATTATTCATGTGAAATTTTAAAAGATGCTCTTAAACTTTCTCTTTGATAACAATACAGAATTGATGGCGGTTAGTGCAAAGACCATGATCTCGTTACTTTTAATCTTTTTTATTATTCCTATTTGATTGATTAGCGTTGATGGCAAATTAAAGCATAATTTGGAACAAGATTCCAATGTCTACAAACCCATCATGGGTTGTGACTAGTCGTCACGATAATGCCAAAGAAATTCAGAAATATCTAAGAGAATGTAACACATAAATTAGGATAAAGCATCAATGCCATGATCCCATTAGCTGTTGCCCTCTAACTGAACCATGTTATAACTCACTTGGATTGGTAATGCTACGAGACGGTATTTCAGTATCACATAATAATTTTTGATAACTTTTTCGCTTCGTGTGTTTTAAGTCCCACGTCAGGGAATTGAAAAAAAATAAAATAAAATACAAGATATATAAGTGTATAGTCCTACTCCTAATAATACATATGCCTTTTGTGATAAACTCAAACACTCAACAATAAGTAGTTGGAATAATATCGTTATGGTTAAGAGTAGGCCAATGAGTCTCTCTAAATATCTGACATTATATAAGAGCGGGTTTGATTGTGGGTCCTATGGGACGTGTTGTGCCCGACTTACTGAGTTTATCGTAATACCTTGCTTCAACGCTTAATGTCCGATGTAGGATTCGTTTCCCATGTGACCCACTATGTTGTGCTCGCACATGAGAGGGTGTGTTGAGTATAATCTCACATCAGGAAATTGAGAAAATAAAATAACACATATAAGTGTATGGTTTCACTTCTAATAATACTTAGGCTTTTTATGATAAAACCCAACACCTAACAATAGGTGATTAAGTTAAATGTGGTTAAGAGTGAGTCAATGACCTTTCTCTCACACATGAGAGGATGTGTTGAATATAATCCCACATCAGGAAATTGAGAAAATAAAATAACACATATAAGAGTGTGATTTCACTCCTAATATTACTTGGCTTTTTTGTGATAACAATAGGTGATTAAGTTAAGTGTAATTAGGAGTGAATCGATGACCTGTCTCTCGGAATATCTAACACACAAACAACTAATAACAAAATCTTGTTACCCATAACAGATAAAGTTAACAAAAGTTTGCCCTGTAGAAACATGCAGCAGCAGGATCTTTCCTTTTACACCCTAATCCTTTCCGAGGTGCTCACTTTCTCGCTTTAAGGCTTAAGGCCAAGGAAACTTCATCTATTTCGGTTGTTCTGCTAATTCTCTGTAGATCATTGCTCGTTAAACTTCCATTAGCTGCATTCCTCATCCATGTCTCGCCCTGCTCAGGCAAATCGTGTTGGATTTTTCGAGGGCGTTTAGTTTGGATGTCTTGAGCTTTTTGGCTAGAAGAGTTCATAGGCGGGGTCCCCAGATGGAGAACTGGATTCTCTGCAGAAGGGTGAAGAGGTGCCTTTACACTCTTGTTCATTGGGTCTGGAATTGTTTGAGCCTGCTGTGTTTCAAGAATGTGTATTTCTTCCACCATCGGCTTCCAGATTCTCACTCTCGAATTAATAAACCAATTCGAAACCTGCAATATATATGTCCGAAGATAAATAGACACGGCAGGCGGCGGCAGATATCAAATTGAGGTAAGTTTCATTCATTTACAGTGGGGGAATCCTATCAGAAATTGTGATAAATTTGACAGCGGCAGGCATGTTGCACATCATAAAATCTAAAGGGGGCTTAGAACCAGACCGAAAGCCGAGAGGACGAATTGGAAGGTCATAAGTTCCAGGGGCAGTGCTAATATCTCCTAATAGAAATGAACCAAATAAAGACTTGGCCGACATAGGCATAGCCAAGTAGGCTAGGGTACCATGCACCGAGCTCGAATCCCCCTCCTCACATTAGATAAGAACGCTGCAAGAAGCAACAACGAAAAATTGTCTCACCTGAGTTCTTGATAGGCCCGTCTGTTGAGCTAACATCAGCTTTTCAGAATCAGAAGGATAGCTGAAATGTTGAACAAAACCTAAGTCATAAGATACCAAATTACCAATTTATTGAATTGATATTCTAATTGAGCTGTTGAATTATATTAATGGAAAATGAGAAATAACTAACGGGTGCAGAAAGTGTTCAAAGAGCCAGGTCCTCAGCACAGCCACTGCATTCTCCGGGAGACCTCTCTGGGACCGGGAAACCGATTGACGAAGGCTGTTGGTGGTGGTCAACTTCAAATTCAAATGATCATTTGGGTTCTGGTTGTTCTGAATGCCTCTTACAGAAAACCCTTCAGTTTCTTCATCGCCAAGCGACGTTTTGCCTCCGGATTGAAGCTTGTCTAAAATGGCATTCTTCAGGCAACCAAAGTGCTTCAAGATGGCTTTGATGGCAAGGGATATGTAAGGGGCTGCGTTTCCAAGTCCATCAATGGTTTCAAATGATGCCACCACCGACTCCATTTGTTGGCAGTATAGTTTGTACCTCTTGTACACCTAGGAAACATGAGATGTGAGAACACAATTTAAGGGGACTTGGGTGCCAAAACTTTCTTTATTTGGGCCTAAAAGTCCATTGTGCCCTCCACTAGACCCACAATACTATGGACAATTCAGTTATATTTCTACGTTAGCAAGCAGAGTGGGGTTAGGGCAATGTGACTTATCCCTTCTATTCGAGTTCAAATCTCTCTATTATTTTCTAGGAAGAAAAAATTAATTAAATATGAATTAAAGTTTATCCGATAATAATCTGATTCGCATAATTATCATTTATTTTTGTTCTTTTCTTTATTAGACAATATATATGCTCTAATTTAACATAAAGTGGCTAAACCCTATCAACATGAAAATTTTGAAGGGTGGCACTATTTACACCTTTTTTTTTTTACTTTCCACTCATTGAAGAGAATCAAATTATAGAAAATGTGTGAAAGGTAAAAAATAATGTGTAGGTAACCCCACTATTTTTCAAATAGTTGAAAATACCCATCAACTAATTACTTACTATACAAAATCAAGTAATCAACAAATGAATACAATACAACAGTGAAGTTACTAAATTCAATGATGATGGAATGTAATCCAAATCTTATTTAACAAGAAATAACATAAATGAGATAATGAATACAATTCGATTGAAATTAGAAAAATGCTAATTGATTTTCTCAAAAATAAAACTTCTCATGAATTCTCTGTTATTTTATATTTTTTTGCATAATATTTTACAATACTGCTGTTAAATTGTTAAATTGTAAAATGTCAGAATTCATAAATAATTTCATTTTAAAAAAATCTTCATAAAATTTCTCTTAAAATTAACTCTTGATTGGAATGGATAAGATTTGACCTAGGGCGATCCCATCCATTTACAGATACATGATCATGTGCCATATCTATCACCCGATAATTAATTATGACAGGTGAAAAAAAAAAATGAATAGTAGATAAAATTACAAACCAATAAGAAACAATACACAGTTGAAAAAAATTAATTTGTGACAAGACAAGACATCCTTTAGGCCATGACTACTGAACAAATCAATCATATGATGTGACTCCCTGACATCAACCTCTTACTACAGTACTGTATTAAATCCAAATATCTTCCCACATTTGACCCATATTCCATCTAAAAATTTAGAAAATATTAATTTAATCAAAGATTAACATCTTAATTAGAAACATTTTTTGGTTAATTTTTGTGACATTTATATGTTCTTATCTAATAGTATATGAAATTATAAATAGGGCGTAAGTACTCTTGAGAAGAAATTTTTTAATGTGTTTAAAATAATTTCGATACTCAAAATGTTATAATACAATTAGATAATTATTTTTTCAAAATTCTAAACTGTAGTATCATTATATACTTGTATGATAGAACTGTGTTACATTAAAAAATTTCTCATAAAAAGGAACATGCATTTATGCACACGAATTATAATCTTCATCCTTACGATTTAGATTTAATTAAATTAAAATATTGATGATATGGAAAAGTGCAGTACGTATAATTAAAATTAATTAGTGGTGTATAATATACCTCCTCCAGCATGGTGGTCAGCCGAGAGTTCTTCATCTGAACGTCGACCCGGTGATCTTTGGCGCAAAAGCTCCAGCAGTTGGGCGGAGGAGGATCCGAGTCGGGTAGAACCGACCCGCAGAAATCCTCGAGGAGCTGCTGGGCAGGCTTCAGAAACCTGGACCGCTTCAGTATCGAAGCGTAGCCGGTGAACGGGCCCAGAGGAACCGAGCTTCTGAGTTCTCCGGCCCGGAAAGAGACGCCGTCGTAATGGCGGGATTCGGAGAAGAGAGGCAGAGAAAACGGTGGTTGGGGTGGGTGGTTTTGGAGGGTGAAACGGAGCTTGTCTCTTCTGCTCTGTTGGGGCACGTGGAAGGCTTCCAGGCCGTCGTCCGCCATGGATGTGTTGTGAAGGTTTTGAAGAGAGAGAGAGAGACAGAGATGTGATGAATTGATGAAGGGAAGGAAAAGGTGTTTTGGTTGAGCTGGGACAGAGTGATGCAATGTTTACCAAAGATATATTTATACAGAGAATTAAGACAGAGGGATCGACGGGATGGGTGAAAATGTATATGTGTATATATATTATTTTGGGTACTCTCATGATCTGCATCTTTTTTATTGTTTTAAAATAATAAAATATTGATGGTAATGACAATTTCAAAGAGATAATAGAGGTCGTATACTATGCAATATTCTTCTATCGTATCGTGTTAGGTACTATGAGTGGTTTAGAAAATTAACTCAAGGTAAATCATAGTTGTTTGGGTTCAAAATATTTGTTTGGGTCGAGTATATGATCATTCTCGGCTCAGAAGACCTTACGACAAGGGTACCATGGATCGTTTAGTGCGTGGGCCTCCAAACCTAGGTTGGTTAGGTCATGCTGCAAGACAAGTCGAGTTCTGGCGCAATAAGGAGTCTCGGCAGGGTTAATAACCCGGAAACGAATCCGGCTCAATAAAGGACTAGGTTCACAATTATAGTGAAAGTAAGATTGGTCGAGTTGGTGTTTGATCAGGAGAATAAGACCTAGTCCGAGTAGGGTTTTAACTCGGCTTCAAAGGTATCCAATGCTATAAATAGAGGAGGCTGTGCATCATTCAAGGCCTCTCTAATTCAACACACAGCTGCCCTACGCAAACTCTCTCAACAACTTTGAGATTTTTATTCTTTTTTCACTGACACATCTTCCGTTGGCATCAACAACACTGTGAAAGCAATCGGTGATATCTTAAGTCAGCATAGATAGCTCTGTCGCTGTAGAATCAACCGATCTCGCAACATCTTCCGTTGGCATCAACAGCACTGCGGCGAGGACGGTTGGTTACCTATCCAAGTCTCGGTCGAGAAGCATTTCCGAATCCTTGTTGATTGAGGTCATCTCATTAGCCTTCTCGGCGAAGTGAGGTATTACAGTTTGCTCGGCGCATTGCACGCCGAGTTATTGTATGATTGGATACTCTCAAGTGGGGTTTAGAGTTCGGCATTCAGACGGCCGAACCACGTTCACTATTAAGACTTATATTTGCTTTGAGTATTTATGCTCTTACACTTTGGTGTCGATTCGGCGTGAGTTTACTCTGACGAATAACATCACTGTGACTGAATCCGACAGTGACGATTCGTGAACTTCGTAAGAATAGTAGCCTTGTCTTCAGGTTCGAGAAACCAAGAGGCCGAGACGTGTTCCTTCCTCGATCACAATCGCAAGATGCAGAAGTCAGTCGTGCACCCAACGTAACATCAACAAATTTACTCCTCGGTCGAGCTCGGCCTACGAGTTGGCATGCCTCGCATTCACCGAAGGATGTAGTTAACTTATAGATTACTCGGCCTGCGCGCCACATAGGTTTGGTAGTTTTTAGGGTCAACATTTTGGCACGCCCAGTGGGACCCAGTGCTAAACTACGAAGTTCATGCCAATTGAAACACGATCGGTAAAAAAGAAAACAGCTATGGGAAAATTAACAGCCGATTTACCAACTCAGAATACAGGACACAGTGTACCACAGGCGCAGAATCCCATCAGCGCTGTAACACCTGAGTCCACGAGCGCGACTCGCCGAGAAAGGGAAGTTAATCTCGGTGGTCAGTTTCGCAGTCTTGAAATCCTCGACAGAAACACCTGCGTTCTTAATGAAGGGATAATAGAGGATTGTGACGAGGATGGTGGCGAAGGATCTGATTCACCAACAAGGTTGTTTCTTCGAAAACAGCTTGACGAGCAATCTCGGACGGTTGAACAGACGTTTAGTCGAGGAATCGATAAACTTCATGACGTGATACACAATACCAGTGAGGCACAAACCAGATTACTCGAAATACTGGTTAGTAAGGTTAGCGATGGTAGGACTTTCGATCTTGCCCAACATTTGCCACCGAGAAATAATCTATTACCAAGTGCACCGGCCGAGTCAATCCCTGCTTGGCTCAAACCAATTAACTTGGAGAGAGGAGGAGGATCAAATAGTAGGTCAGACGGATCAGACCAGAGAGTGGAAGCAACACCCGTCGATATGACCGAGGTCCAACGGATGATCGATTCAGCCATGAAGAAAGGGCCGAAGTTTCCTAAATTTATACATCCGTATCCGGCTTATGTGGAACAGTTCGAATACCTTAGAGGTTTCAAAATCCCGGATTTTAGCCTTTTCGTCGGAGAATCATCCTTATCTTCGTTGGAACATGTGGTTCGTTTCACCGCGCAATGCGAAGATGTCAATAACGACTTTCACAAGCTGCGACTGTTCAATTTTTCGCTGACCGGTTCAGCATTTGCTTGGTATATCAACCTTCCACCGAATTCTGTCCAGAGCTGGGAGGAGTTGGTCGAGAAATTTCATGAGCAGTTTTATCGGCCAGGAATGGAAGTGTCAGTATCCTCGTTAGCAAGGATGGCTCAAGCATCTGACGAATCACCAATGGGTTATCTTACTAGATTTAAATCAGCCAGGAATTGGTGCCGAGTACCTCTCCTTGAAGTTGAGTTCGTCAGAGTTGCTTTGAATGGTCTTGACGTAGAATATAAAAAGAAATTCTTGGGGGTAAATTTTCGGGATATGTATGAACTAGCCCAACATGTCGAGCAATATGATTATTTGCTCCGTGAAGAGAAGATCTCGAAAGCTCCGTCCAGAGGGACGATTTACAAAAATCCCACTGTCAGTTATGCATCGGCCGAAGGTGAATGTGTTAGCGTGGATGCAGCCGAGATAATCATAGATAAGCCATACGTTTGCAAAGCACTGACTCAAATTGACTCCAAGGAAGCCAAAACCCGCTCGGCCCCTGAAGAAACAATGAAAACGTCAAAGGTCTATACTTTTGATATTACAAAATCTGATGCAATTTTTGATCAATTGCTATCAGCGAAGATCATCAAACTTCGGCCTAGGCATAACATTCCCAAGGCCGAAGAGCTTAAAGGAAAGATATATTGCAAATACCATAATTCCAGCAAATATACGACAAATAATTACGTCGTGTTTCGAGACAACGTCTAAAGCTGGATTGATAATGGCAAACTGAGATTTCCAGAGAAGAAGATGAGCGTTGATACTGACCCATTCCCCACGGCAACAGTAAATATGGTAGATGCATGCCTACCCAAGGACAAAGGAAAAGGGAATGCCGAAGCTGTTACGACGCAATGCTTTTGGAATCAGAACTCTCGGCCACGTTTCATGGCTAATTTTCGTTCAAACGAACCACCTACAGCTTTAACGGGACCCGCTATTGTCAAGCCCATGACAGATTACAGCACTGATGAAGACAGTGGAACAACGGTTTTATGCAGTAAATGTAAAGCAAAGGTCAACATCGAGCCAAAGGAAAAGTCATCTCCGACTATAATGGAACAACCTACAGCCGCAACCCAGCAAAAGGTGACCAACGCAGGCCAACATCAAGGGGTTTCTGATAGGCTCGGTCCTAAAGTGAGGATGGAAGAGACACTTTCAGTCAGACAACGTCTCGATTTTGATGCTCCGTTTTATGACGAGGACTACTATATACGTAACTCTAGCAACTTGGAATCATCGCGGAGGCAAAAAACTTTCAAACTTCCCGAACCTAGAGACCAACACTGTCCAAATCCCAGAAACGTCGGCACCAAAGAATAGATTGCATGGCCCACTGACGGGCAGCCCAAGAAACTTTGGTCCCTAAATGGCGGCCGAATGACACAATTGCCAACAACGATGAACGACCACCTCCAACGATTATGACAGAGTTGGTTCAAGGGAAACGACTGGTCAATCAAGATATCGAAACCACGTTCGAAGAGGCTGATAAACAGATCAAACTTCTTCTTCGGCCCGGGGAGATGAAGGCACGCCTCGAGCATTTCAGGCAAGAAGCTGAAAGCAAATTAACCCCGCCAGCCACACGAGAACCTTTGATCAAAATTTGAAGGAATTTACATCCACCATTCCTCGGGGAGGCCTTGGAATATATGCGAGAGTTTCATAAGATACATTCGGCCAACGATCTGTATGGTTTGCCGAAAGCATGTCAATACACAATCGATCTTGTCCTAACTTTCCCGGATGCCGAGCGAATCATTCAGAAGACCTCAGACCCAGGATTGAAAGCTAAGTTCTAGCACATACGAGAAGCTCGTGTCCTTGGTTTTGAAGTCGACCCATACACTGATATCGATGCAGCCGACCTTCCTTTCTCAATGGAGGACCTTCAGTATTTACGATATCACTTCGAAGTATTTTCGGCTGTTTCTCTCTTCGGCCTTACGATCGATGAAATAGCACGTGTCGCATGGCTGGATGCCTATCTCGACACCAGGGATGCCCGTATACAGTACCAGGAGCAAGTTCAGATCCTGGCACCAAGCACACTTTCGATCTCAGACTCACCTGAGGTACTTACGCATAACCAACAGGCTGCCGAAGAGACACCCGATACCAAACCATTGAAAAATGAGCAGAAGAGTCTCTTCGTCCAACTCTGACGGAAGCGGATGCTGCAGTCGCCGGCCAGGAAAGAGACGAGGCTAGCGAAGAGGATCATAACCCGATGGGCCCGTCAGTCCTGGATAACATGGAAATCAGTATGGTCCATGTTTTGCCCGTTGATTTTCAGTCAAGCACAGCTCAACCGAATTTCCTCGATAGTGATGTAGTTGCCGAGGAAGACGGTCATATCGATTTTGTAACTATTGCTGAAGTCGAGTCAACAACAAAAGATGATAGTCTGAAAGCAGCTTTGGCTGAATTGTTTCCTCGTTCATCATCGGCCAAACTTCATCATTTGAAGCCATTGTATGTAACGACCCATATCGAAGGGTATCCAGTCTCCAAAGTTTTTGTCGACTGTGGAGCCACCGTCAATATCATGCCTGTAAACATCATGAATGCCTTACGTCGCTCCAATGACGAACTTATTCCGTCTGGGATCACGATGAGTAATTTCGTCGGAAACAAATCCCAAACCAAAGGGGTACTTCCGTTAGCAGTAAATATTACCGACCGTAATCACATGACCACTTTTTTCATTGTCGACTCCAAGACCGAGTATAATGCACTGCTCGGTCGAGACTG